GTCTACTCTTGGTGACAGAGCCTTTATGGCTGCTGCACCAAAACTATGGAATGTATTGCCATTGAATCTTAGGAGTATCTCTGATTTTAATATTTTTAAGCAAGATCTTAAGACATATCTTTTGAAAGAGGCTTTTTATTAGCTCAGTTCTTAGATTAAATTTGTAATATTAGTTCTACGTATTTTAATTGTCCTATCCATTGTTGTAACGCGCATTTGAAAACTGCATTGTTGAATTTGCGCGATATAAATTAATAAATGTTATGTTATGTTATGTTATGTTATGTTATGTTATGTTATGTTATGTTATGTTATGTTATGTTATGTTATGTTATGTTATGTTATGTTAATTGATGACAGATGTTCACCAAGCGGAGATGTATTGCCGCCTATATAATCGCGTTTGTATGGAAAAATATCCATCTCCAGTTTACAAAATTCTGTCATACAAAGTGAAATTTTAAGTGGATTAGATTTGTTCTTCAATAAACCTAAGACGAGCATTAATTAACAAGAAATAGTGGCTAGGACACACCATCATAAATGTTTGCCCGCCCATGCATAGGGCCGGGGAGGATTTGCCTCATAAAGACTCCTTCCTTTGTCGCGGGAAATGAGTTTGACCAAAACTTTTCTCGTTTGTTATGAATAACTTAGTTATTCATCTACATATTTTAATAGGATTTAAATTTCAGAAGCAATCCACTTTTTTACTACGCCTTATGGAATCCATCAGGTTTTCGATCATGAATGACGGATTCCAATGGGACAAATATTACTGCCACTAAACTCGCCCGTTCCAAATAGATATTTGGCTTATTAATACTTTCGTGAAAAGAACATACATTATTCAATATAAAAACACGGATACATGTTCTGTAGACCCTCGCACGACTTCGGTGCAAAGTTAGAAAAGTTGCAAATATCTGTCCTAATCATGAGCACCATTTTGGAATCCTGAACATGTCTAATATAAATGAGGATAAACAAAAAAAATAAGACAATTTTCAAGAAATGACTATTTGAACAAGAATCAGGATACATCAAGGAAGTTATAGATCAGCCTCGTGCCCAGGCGCTTTGGTTTGTTTACGTCATTAAGCGCACGTGGGACGGCACGCGAGGGAAAAAATGGAAAATTCGGCGGGAAGCGCCTGGTAGAATTCGCATTCAAAATGGCGGGTCAGTGTTCTGCAAGTGTTCTATATTATTTATAATATAATATTATTATTGAAATGACATTGTTTACAGCAAAATACGGGTTCGTACATTGCCAGTACTCTTTGGAGTGCAATATTTAACTTAAACTTTTAATAGTTTGCCTTGTTCAACTATGCAGTCACTACAGCTAGTGTCATGATTTTGCTGTTTTGTTCAATATCAGTTCTATATCACGCATTGTATTTATCGTATTAACCTCAAAATTTGTAGTTGAGATACAAAATTTGATTTATTTGTCAAGATTTGTATAATTTAGAGCCATATGGTTCGAATATAGCCATATATAGTAATATAGGTATATTTTGACCTTGGCTAGGCCAGGTGTTGTCGTGCGGATATATCGCTTTTTATTACTTGCCAATTCATGTTTTATTTGGAAATCACTGGTTATTTTGAACCTAGTTATATTTCTCGTCATTTTAATCATTCTCATCATGTTTTAAATCCAGTATATTAAACGTAAATGACTGTACTACACTCTACAGGACGACACGAATATCTATTGTTGTGACTGTTTACAAATATAAACTGTTTGCCGCCGCCTATAGGCCGCCGCGTTCTTTGAGAGTTTGAGCCTCTTGAGATCGGTATTCAGATCAGATGCCTTTCACATTGCAATGAAATTTCTGTGACATATTCAATCCATAAAGCGACTGAAACAACGAAGGCTACGTAGATTTACTCCAAAACGAATTTACACTAGACTGTTTGATAAATATATTAATTATATAGTATTTTAATATACCCGACTTTGTGTAGTTTAAATAAGCACGATATTCGCACAAATTTACATTCAACAGTTATTCTTTTGAAAGATTCATCAATGTCATACAGTTTTCAATGAAAAGTGGCATTTCAAACCTCAAAAAATCCAGTTTATTGAGCCCGCTCCAGAAATCGCAATCCGCTCCAACAATCGAAACGGATTCTGCCAGGCGCCTCACAACGAAATCGATCAAATTGATCCACGCGGCCCACGCAAAGGCCACGCATGCCATAGAACAACACATAGCGCCTGGGTACGAGGATGTCACATACTCGAACCGACCTGACCGCGTAGCTCAGTTGGCAGAGCATTGGGCTAGTATTCCAAAGGCCGTAGGTTCGATTCCCACCGTGGCCAGGCATATTTTTCAAGCTTGCCCGGTGTGGATATACACTCAGAGTAACATCACAGACATCTTAATTAATTGTTGTAAAAATAATTAGTCATACATAAATTCTAATCACCTGTAATATTAAATTTTAATTTCGACGTATTTCAACCTTTGGTTGGAATGTCAGAAACTTAATAAACACATTTAAATAAAAAAACAAGAAATTTTACCCAGGGTGCTTTGAGAGTGCAACGTACAGCAGATGATGGTCAAGCGACTTTGGGAAAATAAAGTTAAAATACAAACTTCCTGAGTTTCTCAGGTTTCCATGCGAACGATATACTGTAGATGTACTAGTTTAAGTCAGATTTCATACACTCTACGACTTGCTTTTGATTTGCTTGAGAGATATAATTGGATGCTATCATAGGCAGCCCACCAGCTAAGCGTATTAAATATTTGACCTTTAACCTATTAAAATAACCTATTTCTTATCGGTGTAAACCAACCCGTTTTTAATGGTTTGTTTTAACCTATTTATTTTTAGTTGTTTTAACCTATTTAAATAACCTATATTTATCGGATTGTCCTAGACCAAACCAAATAACCTATTTTTTTGTTATTTTAACCTATCAGTTTTTACAGTGTATTCAAACACTCATTAATAATTCATAAGCTTATTGGCAAATCATGTCAACCATAATATGTCACGTGCAGTGGCTTTAAACCTGATAAAAAACTCCTAATTAGTAATCTTAATATAAAGAATACTAATAAGACAGTATCTATTGTAGTCGTCTCCTTATTAGTATTCTTTATATAAGGAATACTAATAAGGAAGTATATCTATTGAATTTGTAGTCGTGTTTGAAGCCGTTTAATAAACTCGCAGGTCGTGTTTTATTAGGTCTAAAGCCACTGGCGCTGCGCGCTCGTGACTTCAAACCTAATAAAACACTCCTGCTCGTTTATTAGACAGTACATAAAACTTTTTAATTAAAAGTTTTAACATTTAGCAAAATATTTAACACGCCTAGCTATGATGCTATTTCGAATTAGAGCATTTACGATATCTCTATCCATCATGATAAAGCAAGCTATACATACATGTATTTTGCAGACAAGTCAACACCAAGTCCATAACATTTGTCAATAATTTCCGCCCATGTTGCCTGTGGCATATCTTTTGCAATCGGCGAGATTCTTTCCTTCAGCATATTACAGCAATTTATGATAGCCTACAGGAATAATAACAATCTTATCAAGAAATGTATACACGAAATGTCATAACTCAAAGGTATATAGTAATTACAGGCACAGCAAAACCATCACAAGATTGCTTTGATAAGGAGTTCAATTTAAACAAGTGTCGCATATTAAGGTGTGTGCCGAATTGGCAAAGAAAATATAGCTCAAACGTGAACTCAAGAGCTTGCAAGGTTAAATAACTAATATAATTGTATTGGGAAAACGAACATGCAGCTTTGAAAATTTAGGACAAATACAACATACACATAAGAATGTATCCAAATGGAAGAGGTGCGAACAGGGCATAATACACTATACCCATGCAAGACACCTTTCCAACAAAATACGTACACAACATATAGAATAAACAGTTAACATTTTGAAAACTAACAACAATTCATACAATGAGATCGTCAATGTAATATATTAAGGTTCATATTAGTATAATTTATGCATATCCCATAATGCTGTACGGGAATAAAAGGATTGTGTTGTAACTCGACCACGCTGTTTGTGTTGCTTGTTTTCCTACACTAAAACGAATCACAGTATACTACAGTCAACTCCTGTGACAAGGACAATCACGCGATATTGACCATTTGACCAAGTTCATAACAGATTTACATCTACTGTAGTACAGTACAAATTACAAGGAATAAGAATAATAAAGTTGCATTTAAATGTCTTGACACCGGAGAAAGATTCGGATGAGCTACTTTGCAAACACTGTTCCATTATTTTACTATCCTGTTGAAGTGAGAATTCTGATTCGTAGTGCATGGTGTTACAAAATGGAATCTTGAGTATCAGGTTTAGATTCAGAATAAGGCAAGAACGGTTATGGGTGACAAAAAATTAGGTGCCACCGTATGAACCATGTTTGATCAGGGAGCAGCAGCAAAGATGCATGGACGGGTTAGACTTAGTTTAAATAATAAGTTAAAGTATACAAGTACATGTAAGAAAGTTTGTACATATACATCACCTCGCAGCATATTTCGCTTGTTATACTTCCCCCAGTTCCATCACCTGTGAAAGGAAAACGTCATCTCAAGAGATCGTTTATCAGATTTGTTTACTAAAGGTGACAGGAGTAGGGAATGTAATTATTTTTTCAGAAAGGTGACTGCCGAAAAGCTTGAAGTAGGCACCTATATAGTACGTGCGGTAAATTCCTGGAATATATCACACCCTTTCTGCCCCTTTTTGTACATACGCTAATCTGTTGTTTGGTACTTAATGAGGAGACATGTATCAAATTCAGAGGCTTTTTTTAAGTGGCAATTATTAGGAAACAAATAATTTAAAACACTAAACCAGGAACCAGTTAAAGATGCTCCCTACAGTTGTGCCTATTTGTCCAACATCTTCGCAGTATACACGCCTAATAATGCAGATCGTGCATTCCTTTCAACTTGGAGGAAATATACAACATAGTGGAACATTTAGAACTCGGTTTTGACAATATCACTGTTGCCATCGCGACATGGCGAATTATTTATACTGAGAATTAGTATTTATTAATGTAGATAATACATGTGTTTTATTTTATGCTTCTATAAACTAGAGCAATAGTCAAGTTATCTAAAGTTGTGAATTAGATGACTATAAACAAACTTTAGGCAAATGTGTCTATAGTGTGTTTTCACATGACGTCACGGCATAAATTAATTTTATACGCCGCCATGTTGGTGGAGTGAAGTTCCAACATGGCGGCCAGCAATTCGGAACTAAAACCAAAACAGCGAGGCAGAAAAAGTAATTATTCATGAGATTCCTTTGTCGTAACATGCAAAATCTCTCGAATACAGCAACAGTCAAATGATTCAGATTGTGGTGTATTTGCAATTGCTTTTGCGACAAGTCTGGTTTTCATATTGGATCGGTGGATCCAAATATCCTGTACAGTACATGTATTAATACAGATGGAACTTACTTGTATGCTTGCCTGAAAGCTGGTCTCATTACTCTTTTTGAAAATTTGCATTTGAAATTATTACAGACTTTGCTAAACATTAAACATTTGTGGTGGACAAGACTGAGAACCTCCACATGGTGACCATTGGGCAACAGCATGTTGTGTAAACACGGGGTGGATTAGCACACCAGGACCCCTACATTGTTTAACTGGACAACATTTTATCTTGCATATTATTCGTACAATGTCATATGTTGGTCTGTTAAAGTGTTAATCTACCCCTGTGCGATTGCAAACTTTTGCACAACCTGTTGTCGGCTAATCTAAGCACTTTACACAAAATATGGCTTAATTGGGGAGGGGGGGGGTTAGGCAAAAGTCCATACTTTGATTTGCCACCATTTAAAGGCGTGGTGTCAAATTTGAGTAACGATAACCTAAGTCTTTGGGTGGCCCAATCAATTACTTAACCCCAACCAATAATACAGTCAGAACAGACATGGTTTTTACATTGTTTCAATGCTCATGGTATTCAAACTGGCCTAGTTGAAATAGTAATGTATTTATTCCCCATATCACAAGCCCCCATGAGAATTGCATGAAATATTATTGCTGAGATTAGCCAGCATGTTGTGAAACAAACAGGGGTACAGTAAGGGTCACTTTTTGACGTAGTACGGGTCAATTTTTGACAAAGTACAATTAAAGTAGCTTACTAATCTACCCCTGATATACACAACATGCTGTTGCCCAGTGGTCACCATACAGAGGTTCTCAGACTTGACCACCAAATTTTCAAATGTTGAAAGAATGTGTTTCTGTTTCTTGGTGAAAACATTATGTTGTAAAATACGTACTTTACTTCAATCAAAAGGTATAGTATGAGGGCAAAGATTTACTAGTGCAGAGCAAACTCGAATCATTCTGTCAATGAGAGGAACAGATTCTCCTTTTCTGCAAATAAGGTAATCAGTTGGTAAAGTTTGTTGAGGAATGGTATATTTCTGTCTCAGTAAACCAATAATTCTTTCGACATGTAGCAATCTTTCTTGTCTGTTCCACATCAGCAGAATCAAGCTGCTCTTTTCCTTTTGTGAATGCCGGAATGTTCAATTTGGCTTGGCAAACTGAACACTTTAATGGACAGTGAAACCCCTATCCGCCAGAACCAAATCACCTGGTATAAGGTTGTCCAGAAAGCCACAGTTCTCAGTCAGAAACTTATCTGAAGTCCTCCCTCCCCAAGCTTCACTGACAAAGCAAATTGTACCTTGTGGTGTAATTCCAATTAACACTTTAACAGTGTAATGATGCTTGTAACTTGAAAACATCTGTGCCCTTGCAAGGAGATTAGTTTGTCTATCAATAAAAGTCAGCAGAACATGGTTTACCCAGAAATTAAAACTCAGATTGAAGCATAGAATTATGACACTCGCTTGTCTTAATGCACCAGTCAATGTAACCCCCCCCCCCAACCCCGGGCATTAGGCGGGGATTAGATATTTTCGTTTCTAATCAGAGCGAATGCCCCGCCATGCGCATACAGTTGAAATGGACAAATGCCCCGGCCTGTACGTGGGGCTTTCAAAACCTTTTAAACCTAATTCGATTAAAAAAAAATGCAATACTGCAATACCAAAAAGACAATTTAGTAAAAGTGCTTTATATTTATATTAAATATGGTTATATCTTAAAGTTTATATGAATTGCTTTCGTGTTTTTCTTGCCTATTGCCATAGATAAATCATGAATATCGAAATAATTATATTTAAACTGCCTAATTCGATCATGCTTCAACACTTAATGCGTGCATTGTTATTCAAATTTCCATGTGTGGCCCTATCACTGTCTTTATTTGTTTTAATACAAATTTTATATTAAATATTACAATATATAACAATAAAAACAACTTTAATGCAAGGTATGCATGAGTGAAGAAAGATCAAAATACAAAAAATATCGAAACTATCACACACAAACGTGAAGACAAAGCGCGTGGTCAAAGCACCGAGCCGAAGCCAGTATAATGAGGGCTAGATGAAGTACCGTGATGAAGTATATACCTCAAATCCATGGTCAAATCCCCGCCAAAAGCCTCGGTCAGTTCTAAAGGAAGATCTAAACGAAGCAAATGCCCCGCTCATAGGGATATTAATAAACTGCAAATGCCCCGCTAATCCCCGCATAGCCTCGGGGTTGGGGGGTTACATTGACTGGTGCATAATGCCAACTGTTGTGGTTGAAACGTCTGTTTGTGTTATGGCCGGAGTTTCTCAAGTTTTCTGGCAAATTTTTTGCGATGTCTTCGATATCTCCATAGTCATAGGATCAAATAAACATTTAACAACCACGCCAGGTTCGTTTACTCTCTGTAACTTCTCTTTGAACATTTCTTCTGTATTCTCATGGATGCGTTTCCTTCGGTCGGCGACTCTAATTTAATATGGCCGACAGCCATCTTCGACTGCGTTCGGTTCACAAAATATCCAATTGCTCCCCTTGATTTTTAATAACTTTCGGCACCCGGCAGAAAGAAAGATCTTTATGTTTAGATTTGTCATTTGAACAGTTTAAAACTACACAAAAAGCAGGCATATTGAAGAATGTTTCGAACAGATTTGGCACAGCTATAAGTTAGCACTAGTAAATTCTTCGCACGTGACGCGTTTTACTCCACCAACATGGCGGACGCTAAATTCTAGTGACGTCACAGCGGTTCGCGTGAAAACACACTATAGAGAAAGAGAGATTTAGAGACATACCGTTTGGATTGAGAAAACTTGTTGCTGCTCGAATTGAGATCTGATCAACAGTTAAACCGTAGCCAAGAATGTGGGCTGCAACTTGACAAACCTACAATAAAACAAGACAAAATCTGAATAATATTTGTTTATCCATGGCACGGATTTGAACTGCCTGGTAGCGTTTAAAAAGAGAAATAATAGTTGAAATTCTGCTTAGAATCACAACTTTAGCTATAGTATCAAAGGCATATTAGGGAGTTTTAGATTAAGGTACGAGTACGACTGCGATTTTCGTTATTTGGAAACAGCATATTCTTACCGGATCTTCTAACGGCAGCATATACTGACGCCTGATAAAATGACAACGGGATTTTTGAAAGATGTTGTAGTGAAACGAGCATCCACTACGAGAATAATGGCGTGTGTGCATAATGGCGTAAGAAGATGGCAAGTATTTGCAAACAAGAAATCTCGTCGTCGTCCTCGTCATCATCATACATCATCATCAGTAAAGCGTAGGTTATTATTATAAATACCTTTGTGTCTATCCCTTGTCCTATCTCTATTCCTCCATGTGTTATACACACTGTACCATCTTTACGAAATATTGCTACATAAGCCGTGAATCGCAAGCCCGGTACATACATCACACCCCACCGCAACGGTACAATACTCATTCCTCGCTTGCGCCAACGATTTTCCTAAGGAGAGGGAAAAATGAAAGAGCAAAACAAAATAAGAGGAGTGCTCCGGAAAATGTTTTTCCTACGGAACTTGCCGTTTATATAAGGACCAGGGGCTGGTTGTATAAAAAAGGTAGTTAATGTCACTACAGTTAATTAAAAGTGCGAAAAGTAACCAATCCAAATCGGGTATTTTTTAGTTCACCACTATTTAACTACAAAATAGTGGCTAAAAAGTACTAAAATAGTTTTATATAGCTACAACCAGTCCATGCTCCAAAAATAGGGAATTAATTCGTTAAACCAGACACATACCTTGTTGAATACCTGAATAGCCGTTCTACGTTTCTCAGCCTCACTTGATTGTTTCAAATCTGGAAATATACCGAGAAAAAATTGTGTCTATAGATTAATGTTTTAAATTAAGAAGAACTGGGGCCGCGGTTGTACGATGCTGGGTAACACTGATTTCACAGAGCATTTTCGTATTTTACAACATTTCGCAACCAAACTTTGCAATTTTACTAATTGTAAGATGCTCTTTTGAGCTATAATGATAGATTTCGTCTTTCTTGTCTAGATAAAAAATTAGTTGATAGCTGGAATCATCCATTGAAGTTCCTCCAACCAAAATGAATGAAAAACAACAGTATAGAAGAAAATAAAAATTCCACTCCTTAGCTTGGCCACATATCAGAATTTGGCGGCTGCGTCGCAGTAACGCGCGCAGGACTGGACGCGGTTCAATGTGTCCGACAATCAATGAGGTGTCCGACTGTCTACGGAAAATATTTTGCGTCGCCGACAGCTAGCGAACTTTCATGTGTTTCATTATCGCGAGTGTCTGCGATTACCGTCGACTGTCACAAGAAAACAAATGCTGTTGATTTCTCAGTGGTGGCCAAAATTACGGCAGACGGTTTTCATATATCTTAAGCCGCCTGCAATGTTCGTCGCAGAATCGACATCGCGGCAAGTTCTTTATTCGTAGTTTCACAGCATCTCAGGTATTTTTGCAAATTAACATCCAGCATAGTGGATAGCCGTATAAACCCTTCGTATCTATTATTCTTCATTCGCTAACCTTGCCATATTTTGGATATGTTGCAATAAGGTAGAGGTTGGTGATAGAATGTTGTCTGCAAAAGAAAGGAATACGATAACATTTCATAGTTGATTGGTCGAGAAGCGTGTTTGTATAACTGTTATGGATGTTGTTTTCATTATTTAATTTGTGAATGGATAAATATCGCGAGAAAACGACCCAGTTTATATTCTAAAGCTCGTTTCAAGCTCCTCGATTCCTATTCATTGAAAATTTGGCATCGGCATGAATTAAGTTTACTGAACATCAATTTTGTACGGAAAAATTGGCCGTGTTTTTACTATATCTATATATATATAGATCTATATATGGTATAAGCAGGCAAGTTCGCCTCTGGGGTGGTGGGTGGTTTTTCTCCTATACCAGGTTTTGGTAGCTTAATACGCTCTGGCTAAAATATTGTGAAGCGTATAGCCTGTAATTAAATGCCCTTCAATAAGAATGGGGCCATTGTATTGTTGCGACGGACATATTTATAGAGTTGATTGGTTAAACCCAAGTGCATCAGTTGTTCACGTGCTGTTGCCAGGGTTCAATCTCTTTTTGGCAGCATGATCAGAAAATAATGCCTTGTTTTATCAAAGCACAGTAGTTTTGATGGCAGATTGGCATTTCCTTAAGACAAACAGAGTCTTCCAGGACATATCACTTCATAAACCGCACTTTATTGCGTTGCATAAATTGAATATTTAAATAAAAGCTCACAAATACAAAATAACATACCTGCCGTATATATTTCGAAAATTAATTGTTGTTTGTAGAGGTAATAGTATGGTTTCGAGTGCAATTTGGGGAAAACATGCACCAGTGCGCTTTTCAAAGACGATAAAAAAACCTCACGAGTGGATGTTTTTGCAAATTGCACGAGAAACCATACTATTACTTATTAAAAATATACATGCAAAAATTATGCAGTCACATCTAGATAGATGGTTTATTACATAATTATAAACATTGCAGCCAATAGGCTGAATTACAAGTTAAGAAAATATTAAAATACTATACAATTAAATGTCTCTAAAAGGATCTAAGAATGTTCTAATAATGTTATGATAAATAATTTAATGCATTATATATAATAAAGCTATTTTTAAAACGGTTAGCCTGAAATGCAACGTTAAAACTATGACTGGATCTAAGAGTCATATGAACAGTTTCATTAGGTGGTGGAAGAAGATTATAAAGCTTATGGCTATCATCAGTCACTATTTCTTCAAATAGTTTGTCTGAAAGACCGTCTCTTCGATGGCTGAGTCGTTGGAGGCCAGTTGATTGTAAAGCGTCTTCATATGAGACCCAAGGTAAGATAATTCGCAATGCTCTCTTTTGGATCCGCTCCAAATCCTGACTGAGGTAATTTGTCAAACCATTATGGAATACAGGACTTGCGTATTCTAGGATTGGTCTTATGCACGTTGTAAAGAATAGGACAAGTTCTTTCGTGCCAACTCTTGCTCTCTTAAGTTGGGAGAGGAAATAGAGACGCTTTCGCGCCTTTGATATAATTTGGTCAATGTGATTGTTCCATTTCAAATTGTTAGAAACCGTCAGACCAAGGATTTTAGCACTGTCGACCACTTCCAACATTTCTCCATTTACTATAATAGGGTCAAACATTGCTCTTGGTTTGCAGAATCCGATTCGTAACTCCTTGTATTTAGTTTCGTTAAGTTTGAATTGGCTCTCAGAGATTTGTCTTGTTAGGTCATCTATAAGGGTTTGAACTTTACTTTCTTCGTTTTTCCCAACAATTTCGTCTAAAGTTGTATCGTCCACAAATTTCCATATATTACTATCGTTAATCTTTAAGTCATTTATCATTATGATAAACAGCCACGGCCCCAACTTAGTGCCTTGTGGAACACCAGCTGAAATGTCGGCCCAATCTGAATAAGAATTTTGATTTAGTTTGACCCGTGGTTTTCTTCCTGTGAGAAACTCTCTGATCCATTTAAACACCCATTGAGGTAAATCATACGTCTTTATTTTGGAAAGTAGCAAGTGGTGGTCGATGAAGTCAAACGCCTTTTTGAAGTCGAATAGTGTAACTGTTGCCCCCGTTCCATCTGTGGCTGCGTTCCACTTATGAATCATACTCAGGAGGGCGAACACGGGGCTTGATCTTGGGATCGCACCATATTGATTCAGATCAACTCTACGGAGCAACCCTTCAGCAACCAGGCCGGGATACCGTCAGGTCCTGTTGCTTTAGTTTTAATTAGATTGGCTAGCTTCTTGCTGACAGACATTTCAGATACGTGGTACGATCGTATATTTTCTATTGGTATATCATCACCAGTTTCCGGAAGTAGAGCATCAAAATCTTTTGTAGGTTCTAAAAATGTTTTGTTGATCATATTGGTCAGGTCTTCCAATTCAGTTGGATTGTTTTCGGATCCACAATCCAAGTTCCGTAAGAGAGAGATTGGGTCTACTCGAACCTGTGACGAGATACCGCTCAGTTTTTTTGCTTCTTTCCACCACTCCGCCCGTGAACAGGTTTTTAAATATTCAACCATCGATGAATAAAATTTTCCTCGGCACGACTTGCGTTCTCGATTGACTTGGTTTCTTAAGGATTTAAACAGTGTCTCATCACCACGAGCTAGAGCGGCTTGTCGGTGTTGGATCAATTTTTTTAATGGTTGAGAGATCCAAGGGGGGTCATTGGAGACATTCAATTTGGATTTTAAGGGTAGTAATGTATCTTGTCCATAGTTAATTATTGATTCGAGCATTTCTACCTTTGCATTACATGAGTTTTGCGTTTCGATTAGGCCCTTAATATCCACTTCTTCTAAGTATTTCCGCATTATCAGCCGTTTCGTGGGTCTCAAGTCCCGGGAGATCGTATAAAATTTCGCCTTTCGATTAGTTGGTCTCTTCAAAGGTTGTATTTCGACTGATAAATGGTCGGAGAGGCCAAAAGGTGGACGTTTAGTTGGTTCATCATAAAACTGTTTCATGTTGGTAAGTACCAGGTCAAGGGAACTAGAGACACGAGTTGGAAACTTGACGATCTGGCATAGTTTGAAACTATTTTTCAGTCTGGAAAGGTTTAGTTTATTGAAGTCTCCAAGGATTATTATGCCACAATTGGTGAATCGTGCCTCAATTGTTGTTAAAACCTCGTACAAGTAGTTAATTAAATCCTGATCGTTTCCTCTAGAGGGGTGGTAAAGATTGCATAGTATAATACATGATATACCTCTTGGGAGACGTAGAGGTTTTAGCTTTAGCCAAATGGCTTCGAAATCGTTGCTCACAAGCTCTGATAAAATATCGTACTTTATAGCATTTTTAACGTAGACACAGACACCATCGTGTTCGCCTTGATATCTTTCGCGTCGTACAATGTTGTAACCTGAGTCCTTGATTGTAGAACGAGGACTGAGTTCATGGTTGCAGAACAAGGACTGAGTCCTTGATTGTAGAACGAGGAATGAGTCCTTGATTGTAGAACGAGGACTGAGTTCATGATTGCAGAACGAGGACTGAGTTCATGGTTGCAGAACAAGGACTGAGTCCTTGATTGTAGAACGAGCAATGAGTCCTTGATTGTAGAACGAGGACTGAGTTCATGATTGCAGAACGAGGACCGAGTCCATGATTGTAGAACGAGGAATGAGTCCATGATTGTAGAACGAGGACTGGGTTCATGATTGCAGAACGAGGACTGAGTTCATGATTGCAGAACGAGGACTGAGTTCATGATTGCAGAACGAGGACTGAGTTCATGATTGCAGAACGAGGACTGAGTTCATGATTGTAGAACGAGGACTGGGTTCATGATTGCAGAACGAGGACTGAGTTCATGATTGTAGAACGAGGACTGGGTTCATGATTGCAGAACGAGGACTGAGTTCATGATTGCAGAACGAGGACTGAGTCCATGATTGTAGAACGAGGACCGAGTCCATGATTGCAGGACGAGTCCATGATTGTAGAACGAGGACTGAGTCCATGATTGTAGAACGAGGACTGAGTTCATGATTGTAGAACGAGGACCGAGTCCATGATTGCAGAACGAGTCCATGATTGTAGAACGAGGACTGAGTCCATGATTGTAGAACGAGGACTGAGTTCATGATTGTGGAACGAGGACCGAGTCCATGATTGTAGAACGAGGACTGAGTCCATGATTGCAGAACGAGTCCATGATTGTAGAACGAGGACTGAGTTCATGATTGTAGAAAGAGGACCAAGTCCTTGATTGCAGAACGAGTCCATGATTGTAGAACGAGGACTGAGTCCATGATTGTAGAACGAGGACCGAGTCCATGATTGTAGAACGAGGACTGAGTCCTTGATTGTAGAACGAGGAATGAGTCCTTGATTGTAGAACGAGGACTGAGTCCTTGATTGTAGAACGAGGAATGAGTCCTTGATTGTAGAACGAGGAATGAGTCCTTGATTGTAGAACGAGGAATGAGTCCTTGATTGTAGAACGAGGACTGAGTTCATGATTGCAGAACGAGGACCGAGTCCATGATTGTAGAACGAGGACTGAGTCCATGATTGTATAACGACGACTGAGTCCACGATTGTAGAACGAGGACTGAGTCCATGATTGTAGAACGAGGACTGAGTTCATGTAGAACGTGGACTGAGTCCTTGATTGTAGAAAGAGGACCGAGTTCTTGATTGTAGAAAGAGGACCGAGTCCTTGATTGTAGAAAGAGGACCGAGTCCTTGATTGTAGAAAGAGGACCGAGTCCTTGATTGTAGAAAGAGGACTGAGTCCTTGATTGTAGAAAGAGGACCGAGTCCTTGATTGTAGAACGAGGACTGAGTCCTTGATTGTAGAAAGAGGACCGAGTCCTTGATTGTAGAACGAGGAATGAGTCCTTGATTGTAGAACGAGGACCGAGTCCATGATTGTAGAACGAGGAATGAGTCCTTGATTGTAGAACGAGGACTGAGTTCATGATTGCAGAACGAGGACCGAGTCCATGATTGTAGAACGAGGACTGAGCCATGATTGTATAACGAGGACTGAGTCCACGATTGTAGAACGAGGACTGAGTCCATGATTGTATAACGACGACTGAGTCCACGATTGTAGAACGAGGACTGAGTCCATGATTGTAGAACGAGGACTGAGTTCATGTAGAACGTGGACTGAGTCCTTGATTGTAGAAAGAGGACCGAGTCCTTGATTGTAGAAAGAGGACCGAGTCCTTGATTGTAGAAAGAGGACTGAGTCCTTGATTGTAGAAAGAGGACCGAGTCCTTGATTGTAGATCTAGAAAGAGGACCGAGTCCTTGATTGTAGAAAGAGGACCGAGTCCTTGATTGTAGAAAGAGGACTGAGTCCTTGATTGTAGAAAGAGGACCGAGTCCTTGATTGTAGAAAGAGGACTGAGTCCTTAATTGTAGAAAGAGGACCGAGTCCATGATTGTAGAACGTGAACTGAGTCCATAATTCGTAGGTGGACTGAGTCCATAGTTTGTAGAACGTGGACTGCGTCCGTAATTTGCAGAACGTGAACTGAGTCCATGATCTGTAGAACGAATAGATGTAGATTATACGTATACGAATGGAATTTTACTTGCCAAGATGCAAGAACAAATTCCACTAAAAATATTGGTATCGTGAACAACACTGCTGACAACAGAAAACATTATTTATTCTTATTTTCAATGCGCGAGTTTTTCTCGTCGAGCTGACTGCTGGACAATTGCGCGCAGCTTGTATATGGGATTTACAGTAACCCCACTTGGATTAGCCTGCGAATAATCTATAACAGAGTTCATACAGGCTACACTCGGATAAGTTCTTTGTAACTTTATATTATTAGCGCTGATGAACATTCGGGCTTACGGCTCAAAAGCTTTGGAATAATAAATATATGTGGTGTTTTCCACAAAGCAAAACATTTAACTTGCTTTCGGCTCGTTTGGTATCATAGGGCGTTTTCCATTAACAAGGCCAGACCGGTCAGAACGGTCAAATTGTTGAATGGAACACAAAACGTTTGGGCGTCGAATCTATCTGACCGGAAAATTTGGATAAAATTAGAATGAGGTCCATTTTCACTATATATTTCAGAAACATAGACCAGATCTTTCCATTGATACAGACAACAAGAAAATATTTCTTTAAAAAAGAAATAATGTTTCGTTCCAATATAATTATAGAAATACCAGACGTCTGTAATTAGCGGTTGTGACCATAGATCACTTGTATATGTCGAGCAATGAAATTGGTTCATTTTGTGAGGCGGGCGGGTTCTATAAATTTTCATTACCCGGAGGGGCCGAGCGGTCCAGAAATACATTTGTAGTATTTAAAATGAAGAAAAACAAAGAAAACTATATAATAAATATATACCGCTGTTGGCGCTTGAATACTTCAAATATAAATTATCGTGCCTGTAGATTTTGACCTGAAGTTCAGGCCCTAAGCTTTTGATTGGTTGCAAGTTCACATAAACAACAGTTTTAAAAATAGCTCGGTGAAGGGCTCAAGGGGACAATAATAATATAAAGATCAAATGCACCAGGGCCTTTTTTAAGGATTTTCCCGTGGGGGGCATTTTTTGAAAAGGGACCTTTCTGTGAGATAACATATTACAGAGAGATAGCAATAGCTGAAGGCCACGTGTGTGACCAACACACCATGCACGCATGAATGGGGGGGTCTGGGGGGGTACTGCCCCAGAAAATTTTTGAAATTTGAAGCACGGAAATGCCATTTCCTGCATTCTGAGCAACCAAATTTGCTCCAAAATGTATGCTAACTATACTTGTATTTGAAATAAAAGAAGGAAAAAACCAACAAAAAGTTTAAAAAAATATTAACCATAATTTATCATTACTTATTAGAGGGGGATACCAATGGTCACGTGTGTGGGGGTGTACTCCCCCAGAAAATTTTTGAAATTTGAAACACGGAAATGCCATTTCCTGCATTCTGAGCATCCAAATTTGCTCTAAAATTTATGCTAACTATACTTGTATTTGAAATAAAAGAAGGGAAAAATGCACAAAAAGTAAAAAAGAATATTAACCGTAATTTATCATTATACTTATTAGAGGGGGATATCAATGGCCGAAGGCCACGTGTGTGGGGGCATAATCTCCAGAAAATTTTTCGAATTTGAAACCTGGAAATGCTCTTTCCTGCATTCTGAGCATCCAAAAAATAAAAAATTATTGACAATAATTTATCATTACTTAGTGATAGAAAAACGTAACAATTTAAATCAATTTTGTTAAGATAGATAGATAGATAGATAGATTGTTTGTTTAATAAGATTAACACATAGCAGCCAATAAGGCTGAATTGCGTGCTAAATTTTACAAGAGAAATGATTAAAATTAGTTATTCTCTATTTACAGAAGTTTAAAATCACATTACAATTTATAATTCTATATTACAGAAGTTTAAAGTTACATTACAAATTAGCTATGAAACTAGTAAATTTTTAAAAAAATGTTAGCCAGTCTAAAACTGAATATCAGAATCGATTGTCAGTTAATATTATTGATATGCCTTGCAGATAAAGGGAAAAAACTGTTTCTAAATCTGTTCGTTTTGGTCTGAGGAACGACAAAAGACCTTGAGTGTCTAAGGTCGTAATTTGGAAAGTATCTAGATGGTACATGATTATGCATATTAGCTACTGGTGTTGTGGTGATTTCATTAAACAGTTTCTCGCATGCATCCACACGCCTGTCACTTAATGGTTTGATGCCCGATTTTTGTAAACAATCCGCATAACCTGTCAGTGGATAGATGATTGATAAAACACGCTTTTGAACCCGTTCCAGGGCATTAGATAAGTAGGAAGGAAGGGCGAAGTGGAAAACTTGACAGCTGAATTCCATGACTGGTCTGACGCAGGTAGGTCCAGGTAGTGTAAAAATTTATTATGTCAGCTTCAGGTACATGAGCACGTTTCAACTGAATAATAAAATAAATCCGTTTGTTCGCCTTCTTAACTATGTTAGTTATGTGTTGGTTCCATTTTAGATCTTTAGAAATTGTCAAACCTAAGATTCTTGCGTGGTTCACTGTCTCGATTTGGCCTGAGATGATCTTAAGACGCGGAAATTCTTTCTCAGGTTTTGTAAAACTGATAACAAGTTCCTTGCACTTGGAGGCATTTAATTGCATCTTGTTTTCTACAGACCAATTTTGAACACAATCGACTGTATCTTGAATTTTACTGGGTGTGTTGATGTAAATGATTTCAGATACCGTAGCATCATCGATGTATTTCCATCGCTCATGATGTGGGGGGCGTAGGTCATTTATCATTAGGATGAATAACCAAGGTCCCAATTTGGTTCCTTGAGGGACACCGGAAGGAATGTCAATCCATTCAGACATGCAGTCTCTTGCAAGTTTCACCCGTTGTTGCCTGTTCATCAGAAAGTCAATTACCCACCGCTTAATGAAATTTGGCATTGGCAATTGGATGATTTTCGTGGCTAAGATCTTATGATCAATCAAGTCGAAGGCCTTTTTATAGTCAAAAAGAACCACTCTTACAGCGTTTCCAGTTCCATCTGTGGCTTGAGTCCACGCATGAACCATAGAAATTAAGGCTTTTGTAGCAGATGATCGAGGGATGCCACCAAATTGAAAAGGATCAATTGACGACAACACTGCTGGAGCGATATATTTTTCAACAACAAACTCTTCTGCAAGTTTAGACAGAACCGGAGTTAACGAAATAGGTCGGAGCTGTTTGCTTATGTCTTTAACAGGTTTCTCTTTCGGAATAGGTGTAATGTTAGCTTGTTTCCAGCATGAGGGCAGTCTTTTTTGCTTGTAGGACGAATTCAATAAGTCCGATACAGAGGGAGCAAGGATTTCGGCATAATCACGAAGAATCCAATTGGGGATATCATCAGGGCCCGGAGCTTTATGCGGGTTCAAGCTTTTCAGTTTTTTCAAGACCGATGCAGTATTTGTCAAATTCATGTTTACATCTAACGGATAATCAGGAATCTCCTCAAACAAGGTGTTCAAATCTGTGACATTTAAGGGATCATAAGTATTCATTGGTTCTATTAGGCTTTTGTTAATTAAATCTGCAAAATGTTCTGTATCTTCGACATGAAGTTGGTTAAGCAAACTGCCAGATACAGGTCTCATACCGGAGATACGTTTAACCTCTGTCCACCAAGATTTGGGGTTAGACTTTTTCAGATTAGCAACTTTTGAAGCAAAATAGTCTGCCCGGCAAGATTTTCTCATTCTATTCACTTTATTTCGGTAGAATTTGAAAAGAGTAGTGTTATTAGATGAAAACGCACGTTGTCGAAACTTGATCAGTTGTTTCAATTTTTCGGTTATCCATGGGTTGTCGTTGCGATGGAATTTAACGTGTTTCTCAGGCATAAGGATGTCATAACCCGTCTTTATTGCGGAGCATAAGATATCACAATTCTTATCGCACGGTTCGGAGGAATCGATAAGTTGCCAGTCAAAGTTACTCCGATATCGACCAAGTTCTTTTTTGCGTGATTGACGAATGTCTCTTTTTATTACTGTCTTTCTAC